AGTGTAAGATATGACAAAATAATAATTTATAAACTATCAAGGGTTCATGAGGGAGGGGGAGCAGGGAGGGAGGGGATAAAAATGAGGAGATGATGCCAGGGGCTTAGGTGAAGAGCACATGTTTTGAGAATGATGAGGGCAACAAATGTACATATGTGCTTTACACAATTGATGTATGTATGCATTGTGATAAGAGTTGTATGAGCCCCCAATAAAATTATTAACAACTTTTTTTTTTAAGTTTACCAATCATCCAGGACGAGCCCCCCCCAAAAAAAGTTTACCAATCAATGAAAGTACGGTTTATGGCCTAGTAGCTCAGCAGCATGTTTAAAGAAAAATGTTTTCAAGAAAAAGAAAAAATATACACTTGCCTCGGTGGTACAAGCAGTTTGTGCTTGGCTGCTAGCCAAAAGGTTGGCTCCATGAAAGAAAGGTCGGACAAGCTGCCTCCCTAAAGGAATATACACACAACCATCCCGACAGAATTGCCTTGATTCACTGACCGCCAATACTGGCAAAAGGGTATGTTATGCCCTCCCGCTGACAGTGTAGGGCTTCTACAGCCTTCTGTAGCTTGTTGTTCTAAGATGTCAGGGTTCTTCTGCTTGCTTTAGAGACATTGCTGATGAACTTGATACAGGTTCCTTCTTAATACCTCTGCTACTGACTGTACTTCTTTCTTGAGCCTCCCTTCTTTCTTAGGCACTCTGGTGGCATAGCGGTTACGAGTTGGACTAAGTGTTGACTGCAAAGTCAGCCGTTTGAAACCACCAGGCACTTTGAGGGAGAAAAGCTGGACTTTCTACTCCTGTAAGGTGTTTTACAGGAGCCCTGTGCTTTAGCATCACTAGGAGTCAGCATCAACTCCATAGCAGTAAGTTTGGTTTTTGATTTCTCGTTTACCATGATTTATTATGTGTACAAGTAGCCTGGTCCCCCGAAGATTAATTCACACATCACTCAATAAAGTTAATAATAGCCCTTTTATTAAAAGCTGGACCAAGAGCCGACTATTGTCTATTTATCTCAACCCACAACAGAGGAAGTACAGAATCTTTATAGTTAAGGTGGCTGGCTTAAGGGAGGGGGAGTGGGGGTAACATTCAAGCAGTTACATTTTACTTATCAGGTAAGCAGGATACTGGGAGGAGGCTAGGAGCAGCTGCAGGTGATAACTCAAGGTTTGACAGGATAATTTACATTTTTTGCTAACTGTACAAGGAGGCTATCGGGCTGGAGGGGTCCGGAGACATCTTGAGACAGTCAAGGAGTGTCAGGAGATCGGGGAGGGGAAGTGAGGGGAAAGGGGCAGCTAGCTTCTAGCAAGAGGTTGAAGGCAGTATAAAAAAATGGAGTTCTTCATGCTAAACTAGGTTACTACACAAGTATATCTATCAAATTAAACCTGCAAACCTAGTAAAACCAAAGGCAATGCCCTTGAGGCAATGCCCACTGACGGTATGCCCCTGGCAGACAGACAGTAGAAGTGCTCCTTTGAGATCCTGGACATTGTAAGTTTTCAAAGCCATTCCCCACTGAATAAAACTCTGTAATACCAATTAACTTTACATTTAAAATTTTTTCTTTTATCTCAAGATATGAATTCATTTATTCTCATCGTTACAGTCAAACAATCTGGAGCTCAAAAAATTGTTTAAACGTGAGATCTCTAATTATACATTCCCTATCTCTCTATTGCATCTTTCCCAAAATCAAGACATGAACTTCATGATCACAAAACTCTAAACCTTCCATCTCTCCCTCCTCTGACCATTCATATCCAGGCCACAACTTTTCATTATCCAGTCAAGTCGGCCCCTCTGGCCCTTACTCCTGTGTCAATGAGTATCCCATCCCTACAACAAAGTTTAAGATACATGCGCAAATCGCCTATCCACTTCTGGTCCACTTGTCTATGCATCCTTCTAATTGCGGAGTAATCCTATTGACCCATCATTGCCTAACTCTTAAAATTCATCCAAAATCTAGACTACTAGCGTCAAATAAACTAGTAGTCTAACTACTCTCAAATTCCTATTTCTCGTTTCCCACCTTCTTTCAGATTTTTGGTAGATTTGAACACTTGTAGAATTGAACACTGGTCTTCAATTTACCCTATATATCTTCTCATCCTTCCTGAGAAGCTCAAAAGAGACAGAAGCACATTCACATACTACTGCTCCTCTCTGAAGCAGTTTCTCCTACTTGAAACTGTAACTCAATGCATGAGGCCCTTTTGCTAACATCAAAACATTTTGAGGATTGTATACAGTAAGTTGTATTTTTATTATATAGTGATTTTCATTTGATTGACAGATACTGTTTAGGATATAAATCAACCAACGGACATCCTGTAATAACCTCATAGCTTTTACATGTGGCACTGTAGCTCTAACTTTTTAACTCTCTTTTTAACTAACTTTTTAACTCTCTATGAGTTGGAACTGACTCGATG